GATGTATGACGATGAAAAATAAAAAGATTTTAAACATCAAAAATAGTGCATTTTACAACATATTATCTGCACTGTCTATGTTCAAGATTTTCATAGGTTTATAGATCTATTTGATTTTAACCATTTTTGAAATTTAAAATTTTATAATTAGATATAAAAATAGATTTTGGGATAATCTTAAAGACATTTTACCTCAAAATTATATACCATGATAAAATTTGCGGGTGCACCCATCCGCATGCCAACTGCACCCTAGAAATAAATTTATGCCCCAATCTTCTTAAATCTGTTTATTTTGGGGTTACAAGGATAGTTGTAGGATGATGTCGTATCATCACCATAAAAGGGACAGAGAAAACATTAAAAGAGAGAGATATCTATCCTACGTAAGAGAGAGAAATGTATATGTGTAATATGAATGTGATAGAGAAAACATTAAAAGAGAGAGATATCTATCCCACGTAAGAGAGAGAAATGTATGTGTAATATGAATATGATAGAGAAAACATTAAAAGAGAGAGATATCTATCCTACGTAAGAGAGAGAAATGTATATGTGTAATATGAATGTGATAGAGAAAACATTAAAAGAGAGAGATATCTATCCCACGTAAGAGAGAGAAATGTATGTGTAATATGAATGTGATAGAGAAAACATTAAAAGAGAGAGATATCTATCCTACGTAAGAGAGAGAAATGTATATGTGTAATATGAATGTATGATATGTAGATATTATTGCTGGCAACTGACCTGGGCCCGCGCAAGAAAAGCCTGACTCGGCCACCATGACAGTCCTCTGGCCCATTGCCACCACGTTTATTACATGGCCATAGGAAGAGCAACGACACAATTTTGCCCTTGCGGGAACGTATAAACTTTTTAGCTTTGGTAAACATTTATTTGAATATGTGAACGGAGGGTAATCACTCTTTTCTCTTAGAAAAAACTGTTTTTAAATTTTTAAACTACAAAATATTCTATTCTCATTTTTATGCAAATGTGTATGATTTAAATCCGAGTGCTTGTATAGAGCCTAGGCTCTAAACAATCAAATTAGAGCCTACCTTCAAATAGTGTCCAGAAATGTGGTTTCAATATTGGAAACCTTTGCAATAGCCTTAAAAAATATTGTCATCTTTATTTATAAAGTTTAAAGTTTAAAAAATAGTGTAGATTGATGAATCTATGAAAATTTAAAAATCTTGAAAATTGACGGTCCAAAAATACATTATAAAATACACTATTTTCAAAACTTGAAATCCTTTTTTTTCTTATGTCCATGCATCTTGATGTCGAGATGATCAATTTGAGGACATTTGGGAATCAAAACAACATCTTCTAGTGAAATTTTTGAGGTAGGCTCTAATTTGATTATTTAGAGCCTCGGCTCTATATAAACTTTTCCCTTTAAAGCTGTTTTAAAATTTTAAAGTACAAAATATTAGATTTGCATTTTTATGCAAATGCATGTGATTTAGCGAAATTTACAAATAACCCCCAAGATTAGACTTTCTATGCAAGTTACCCTCAACCACATGTTTTTCCACAAAATACACTTTTCTACCAAATATCCCCCAAAGTAAAAATATATTTATTTTTCTAACAAAAATACCCTTTTTCATATATAAAAATTTAATTTTGGCCCGATGTTCACATGGGCTTACATGGGCTGCGGGACCACTCTTTGACATTGTCGGACCACACTTGGGGCCTGTTGCCGGACTTCATGAGCCTATTACCGAGCCGCTCTTTGGCAATGCTTGACCGCATGACCATTTTTTTGTTAGTGCCAAACCACTACATGTATTGTCGGACTGCCACCGTTATTTACTTAACTTACATTATACTATTGAACCGCCTTTTCATGGGAAAGAGGAGACAGAGGCATGGGTAAAAGTATAGGAGGGTAGTTTAGATTATTTTTTTTTGGATTGGGGGGTATTTGCTAAGAAAGTATATTTTGGAGTAAAAAATGAGAAAAAAAAATTAGTAGGGGATAACTTGCATAGAAAGTCTAGTCTTGGGGGTATTTGTACTTTTCCCTATGATTTAAAGCAGGTGATCACGGGTCAAATTTTCAAATAATCTATTTTACCTCTTTTTCACCCTGGTAGGCTCAAAACGATATGACTGGAAGTAATAAAAAGAGATATAGGGACTTATAGCTTTACTGCTTTTAATAGAATACAATGGTAGATTGGGATTCATATAACCAATCCCAATTAATTGGAAAAAGACTTTGACGTTTATGGTGATGACCTCCTTTTCACTTTTTTCTTAAAAGAAATAAAGAATCCTTAAATAAAAACAAAAAGAAATTAAAAAAAAACTCCAACCAGTAAAAAGTAACAAACTTGAAAACCCATTTGGTCTCCTTGATAATAATGCTTAAAAGGAAAAAGTTTATATAAGGTTGTCACTTTGAAATGTAGAATTAAGGTGTACCTCTAAAAACCTTCAAAAGAGGTTTTGATGTTAGAAAAATATCTAATTGATGATCTCGAAATTGACATGTATAGATGTGGAGGGAAAAAAAGAGATTTCAAGTTTTAAGAGTACTACATCTTGCAACACATTATTCGGGCTATCCTTTTTCAAGATTTTCATGCATTAACAAATTTTCTTGATTTGAAGCATTTTTGGAGGCTAGAATTTTTTAATTACAGATAAAAATAGATTCTCACACCATTTTAAAAAATTTCAACACCAAAATTGCATCTCATAACAATTTTTGGAGGTGTACCTTAATTGGATTGTTTAAAGTTGCAACCTTATGCAAACCACAATATCAATAATCATATTAGTAATTAAAAAGGGTTACATAAAGTTGCAACCTTAAAATGTAGAACCAAGCTGCATCCAAAAAATCCATTCATAAAAGACTGTTTTGAAGTTGGAAAACCCTTTAATTGTTCATGCAACATTAGGATATATGACTATGATGAAAAACATAAGATTTTGGGTCCCAAAATTGTGCATCTTGCAACACATTATCTGGGCTATCCATTTTCAAGATTTTTGTATATTTATAGAACTGCTTGATTTGAATTATTTTTGGAGTTTAAAATTTTATAATTATATATGAAAATAGATCTCAAACCATCCCAATGATTTTTTACACCAAAGTTAGTATGAATTTTGGTGGTGTACCTTACTTATGCAAACCAAACCATTGATTCTTATTCAAATATTCCAAATTCCAATGTCCCATTTTAGCCAATTATTGCATTTTTTTTTTAATTTCAAATAAGTTTTTTTGTTAGTTACCGGCTCATGCATGTGTCGTTGGTTTTCGTGGATTTTTCAAGACTCCATGTACATCACAGATCACTCCAAATCCATTTTCACCAGGAATTCATAAATTTGGAGCACAGTGAAACCGATGATTTTTAAGGAGTTGGAAAGTTGGTAAAAAAAAAAGGTGTACAAGATGGACCATGATTAAGACTCAAAATTAACTCATTTATTTACAAAGTCATGATTCAGTTCATAATCATGGAGGTCGAAATGATAGATAGATTTTTGAGTCCAAATCAAGCTCGGAAAGGTAATTTCCAAGGGCGACCTTTAGCCCTATTTTAAATAAAAAAGAAATAAGAAAATAGTGATAGAAGTAGAAAGTATCAATCTTGACTCATCTTTTGCTCCTAACAATAATTTTTTAGTGTCCAAAAAAATAAAATAAGATAAGATGCTTTTACGGCTCAATTTAATTTTTTTAGTTACATATTTATGATCGTGGTGGTCAAGGCATAAATTTTTATACTTTTGGATCTATATGAATTTTGGAAGGGTGGGCTTACACCTAAACCCTACCGACTCTTAAATAAAAAAATAAATGAAGAAAATAAAGATTTTCGAACTAGAAAGTAACAAACTCAAAAAATCACTTCCGCTAACTTATGATACTATATATTATGAGATCATTTATTTTGGTACAAGGATGTCATAATCACTTTTGGTCATTAGATATGAAATTCAATAGATAAATGTGTGTCCGAACATTCGAGAAAAAAAAAATTGTGACATTTTTGTATCAAAAATAAATAGTCTCATTGTATACATTTTTCTAATTTATTTTATACAATTTCCACATTTCTTATGTTTTTTTCCGAACATACCAAAAAACATATGAAAAATGCAATAAAAGTGACGCTTTATTTATTTTGATAGGGCCTCAGTCCAATCAAACCATTTTCCAAACTAAACTAATAAATACTGGAGGAGAAAGGCACCAACTCAAAAGGTTGTAGTTTCTATAAGGGGTGCAGTTGGCATACAGATACATCCGTAACTGTAGAGTTAAGGTTTGCCTTTAAAGTTTATCATGGTATATATTTTTGATGTAAAATGTTTTTAGGATTGTCTCAAAAAAAAATTTTATATTTAATTATAAAATTTTAAATTTAAAAAATAGTTAAAATCAAGTAGATCTTTAAAACATATAAAAATCTTGAAAACCTTGAAAATGGTCAATGTAGATAATATGTTGTAAAATGTACTATTTCTGATATTAAAAATCTTTTTATTTTTCATGGTCATACATCTCGATGTCCAGATGATCAATCAAAGGGTTTTTCAACATTAAAACTAAATTTTTCGATGGATTTTTGAGGTACATTCATAGCTTCACATTATAAGATTGCAACCTTATATAAACTTTTTCCTTCTATAAGGCTTAGATTTTATGAAAACAAAGAAAAGTCCCACCTCGAATCCCCTTCTAGAAAGCAATTCGGGAGTCAAAAGTTTCATGATGATTTAAAATTAATTTCCGATATAGACTATAAAATTTGAAGTTAAAAAAATAGTACAAATCATGTGTACATGTAAAAACTAATTATTAAGGCGAAATGAACTGTCAAATAATGTATTACAATATACATTATTTTTAAAACTTAGAAATATTATTTTTTTCCACAATAATTTTTCTAAGAACATTTTCCAACTGAAAAAGTTTTGAGGTGAGGCTTTACTTGGCGAGGCTTCAGCCCTATCAAAACATTTTCCAAATCAAAAACCCCTATTGGTCCCTTGAATCCGATCGGCATCTACTATACAGGGGTGGGCCTTCCAGCCTCTTAGTGAGCAGCTGATTCGAAACCCTAAAAACCAGAAGCACTCTTCCATGCGCGATCGTCGTTGATCCGTAACCATGAGTCATTAACGTGGACAAAGCTAGAGGTTTTACTCGATGAAGTTGTCAAAATGGAAAGAAATTAGGGTTTGCCTGTTGAATTCTCATTAGAGCAGATCAAGATGCAGATATCTAGGTTTTCCAAGGAAGACCCATGATTATAAGGAGATCTCGGGTATCATCCATTGGAAATTGGTGAGGTTCAAAATTTGCGGCATTTTTTTTAAAGTGGAGGAACCTGCCGTTTGAGTAGAGAAAGTAGGTTTAGCCTATGAATTATCTGCAAGTTTCGAAAATTTTGGAGGAGTATAGGGTGTTTGAATAATTTGGAGGAGTATTGGATCTTCTCTTCTTCATTTACTGATCACTGAAAACTACAGTTTTGAAGAAGAAAGTTAAGTTATGGGGGGAAAACCAGGATTGAGCTCTGCCATGGCTCCTGTAAGTCTGAAAACCGACTATTTCAACCTTTCATTCAGGAACTTCAAGCTCAAAACAAAGCAACAGGAGCTTCTGATAAGAGTAACCGCTCTGGGTTTGATCTATGTCTTGGCCTTCATCACTAGGTTATTCAGTGTTCTGAGATATGAGAGTATGATCCATGAATTCGACCCTTACTTTAACTATAGAACAACACTGTATCTCACTGAGAAAGGATTTTATGAGTTCTGGAACTGGTTTGATTCAGAGAGCTGGTACCCATTAGGTCGAATTATAGGGGGAACTTTGTACCCTGGTCTCATGGTGACCGCTGCTTTGATCTATTGGACTCTGAGGTTTTTGAGCTTCGCTGTTCATATTCGTGAAGTTTGTGTTTTAACTGCTCCATTTTTCGCATCAAACACAACTTTGGTCACTTATTTATTTGGGAAAGAGATTTGGGATTCAGGAGCTGGTCTTGTAGCCGCTGCCCTAATTGCTATTTGCCCCGGCTATATTTCTCGGTCGGTTGCTGGTTCTTATGATAATGAAGGAGTGGCCATTTTTGCATTGCTTTTGACCTTTTATTTGTTTGTGAAGGCAGTCAATACTGGATCTTTGGCCTGGTCTTTAGGTTCAGCATTTGCTTATTTCTATATGGTATCTGCTTGGGGTGGTTATATTTTTATCATTAATTTGATACCACTTTATGTTTTGGTGTTGCTTGTTACTGGGAGGTATTCGATGAGGCTTTATATTGCATATAATTGCATGTATATATTGGGGATGCTGCTCGCTATGCAGATCCGCTTTGTTGGGTTTCAGCATGTTCAATCTGGGGAGCATATGGCTGCAATGGGTGTCTTTTTCTTGATGCAAGTAAGTTTATTCTTTACTCTCTTTCACTGAGAAAAGCATTTCCTTAGATTTTCTAATGGAAGCAATTCATTATTTTGAATTTTTATGGTATATTAATTTCTTCCATTTGAGTTCACTATATTGGTGGGCACGTTAGGATACCATTGTATTAATTTCTAGGGAAGAATTGATGTCTGTTTGTTTGGATTCTAATGAGTTCAATCCGTGTCATTGGTATGTGCAGTGGAATGTTTCTTGTACAGACCATAATCTTCTTGAAGTGAAAGATTATCGACCTTTACCATGCTTTGTAACACTCAATTATGGAAGAAACTCCATGATTATCAACCGAATGCTATTGGCAATTACTTGTTTTTTTTTGGTCTGTTTTCTATGGGACACTTTTAATCATTAAAGAACTCGTTCAAACAACTGATGAACTACACAAATTATTATTTTCTTTGGTGGTTAAAGTTGCAATACTCCCCATAATAATGAATTTAAGAGAAATAGAGAATCACCTTTCACAATTGGCATTCTAAAGTTAAACGCTTACTGTATTTTCAAGGAAGAGATCTAGCTTCTGCCTTATGACTGGTGGTATACTGGTATTGTTTATAATTAGCTGAAACTCTTTTTGGAGGAGTTTTGACTGTTTCTTGAAACAAGTGAAAATGTCATGGATCCTTAAGAGCAGCATGATATCAGATTCTTTTCTGTGGTTTCCTGTCCAACATGGCACTTCTTTCCATGTTGATCACATGGACAAGAGAGAATCTTGTGATGCTTATGTAATGTGTGTGGATTTGAGAAATAAAACTTTGTGGTTCGATTAAAGGTGTGGTTGAAGATAAACAGAGCCCTCTTACCAATTTTAATGGAGAGCAAGTAACGGCTTAAGCAACTGAAAAATGGGGTTCTAATGCAGTGATGTTTTCTTCCTTCTTCTCAACACATCCTATTATGGCTTTAGCTCATACTGTTCCAGGAAATTCCATTATTGTCTACAACAGGGCGATCTAGCATGAAATTGGCATTTAGGCGGATTTTGATCGCATTTGGTTCTCCTTTCCTATTAGACTTGGAAATGAGTTACTTTGTTCTTAGACTTTGAAATGAGTTACTTCCTTCTTCGTGTGGATATCATATCTGAGCCTATTGTTGCTTTGAGCACTAATGACCTTGTTTCCTTTTTATAGCGAGTGTTATTGGTCATGCCATGGCATTCTTTAACATCAGAAAATTAGACCATGCCAGAATCAAATATCTAGGCTCAAAGAATTTTAGCGTGTCAAGACAAACATGCTCTATGGTAAAAGTAAGAAAATTCTTGTATGAACCTGGATAACTTCTCAAATACTTTATATTCCATCTCTATGTGTTAGCTCATAGGGTGAGAAGCTAGTAAAACCATTCAGAATACATAATTCTAAAGCTAGTGTTTGATATAAATATATGAGTGATTTCATGCGAATAGTTTTACAGTAATATAATAAAACAATCTTTGAAAACCATGCTATGGCTGTTTGTTGGATCTCAATTTTTAAGCATGTACTCTTTTTCATTTTAATGAATAATCACGAAAAACATAATTTGAAAACACACCCTAAAAGTGGTTTTTTAACCCACATGGGCCGCTCATTTTGTGAGATGCTTAGATCTAGTCCTTATAAGGATTTTTTTTTCCTTTTTGAAATTTTTTAGATGGCTTTGTTATAACTAGAAGAACAAATGTTAAAAAAGAAAATTTTGATTTTGAACTCCTAAAGGCCTAGATCTTAAAGTTCACCAATGATGGTCTAGATTCTTTGTTGGAGGGTGACTCATTTCTAAGGTGATGGGTTTCGATATGCTACGAATACTTTATTTTGTTTTTAGTCTTTTCATGACTTCAAAGCTCATTCAAGTTTTTCCAAGCCAACTGTTTAACTGGACAAGTCAAATCAGTTTTGACAATGAATAAGTTGACCACAGAGTTTTAAGTTCTTGATTGGTGATTATCCTGTCACCTGGATGTTGCCTTGTCATCTACTTAATGCTCACGTACTTAATTTATATTTTCAGTGAAATTTTTGTTATTAGTAAATTATATAAATGAATAAATAATAATAAAGGAAAACATAAATAACTAAAGGATAAGAGCTGTATGGTCTGATTGTGGACATTGGTCCAATGAGTTATCCTTGGTTTCACTGGCCATCCTTTTCCTAGAAGGCTAGAACCCTGTATGGATGGTTTCATCAGGGTATATGCAACGTTCTAAAGGGAGCTTTGAGACAATTTGAGGCTTTGGTTGGTTGGGATGCATTGATTATAACAATTTGCATTTGAAGAGAAATGTGTTAGTTGTCTACCTGATTCCCTCTCAAAGTTCACTTATTTTCTCCACCAAAGTCTCCAACACTCGGTAAATATGGCTTATGGCATATTACTATATTAATAGACGCTGAGAAAATACTGTAGGCTTTGGGACACTCTTTTATATGATTTTTTGGGGTAATTGCTGCAACTGCTGATCAATGAACATCAGGTTCTGCAAATTTTAGTTTTGTGACAGGCTTTGTTCTTGTATTGTTAGTATTTGAATCTAGTAGTTGAATGAATGCTACAAATGGAAGATGACTCAGTGAATGGGAAAAGCTTATTGTATAAAATCGTTGCTTTGATTTCTATGTTAGATGTTTTGTTGTTGTTAATCTAACTGTGATGTTTTGTTTGCCATTTTTGTTCCTGGCTTGAAGTTGTGTTCATATTTATCCCAACCACATATTCCCTTATTCCCTTTGATGGTTAATGTTTTTCTATGAGATTATGAATAACTGGGAAAGTGTTGTCTTTCTTACTCATGTCTACCTCCCTTGCACAATTTCTGATTCTCATATGTTTCTAGTTCAGGTATTTTATTTCTTGGATTGGGTTAAACACCTGCTGGGTGATGCGAAAAAGTTTCAATCTTTCTTGAAAATTACCGTGACTTGTGCGGTAAGTGTAGGTGCCCTTGCTCTTGGTGTTGGAATGGCATCTGGCTATATTTCTCCATGGACTGGCCGGTTTTACTCCTTACTGGACCCAACTTATGCAAAGGATCATATCCCTATCATTGCATCTGTCTCTGAGCATCAACCGACAGCGTGGTCATCTTTCATGTTTGATTTCCACATTCTGCTTTTTCTCTTTCCAGCGGGGCTTTACTTTTGTTTTAAGAGATTGTCAGATGCTACGATCTTTATCCTTCTTTATGGTCTTACAAGTATGTATTTTGCTGGTGTGATGGTTCGGTTGATTTTGGTGGCAACACCTGCAGTATGCCTTATTAGTGCTATTGCAGTATCTGCCACCATAAAAAACTTAACCTCACTTATAAGGACGAAGAGCAAGATTCCACATACAGGATCTGCCAAGGGAACAAGTAGTGCAAAGGCATCAGCTAAGGTGGGTACTTCTTTTCATTGATCTGCTAAATTATTTGAAGTGAAAATCTCGAATGAATATCTTGAATTGCTTATCTCCAGGGCCTTTCTGAATTTTTACAGTCAAAATCTGGCTATGGTTTCTTCTCTTATCTTGTTCCTTGGATCTGCAATGTTTATAGATAAAATTTGAAGATGTCATTATTTGTCTGCCATAATCATCATCCGAGCCTTATCCCAACTATTAGGTGTCGGCTATGAATCCTGTTTTGCCATTCCGATTGGCTCAGGATTCATGAAAAATATTGTTTTTGTAGTAGCTAGCTTTTGAGGATGAATATCTTTACTTTTTTTTTTTGGGGAGGGGGGGGGGGGATTTATTGTTAACTTATTCACTGGTTAGAAACTCCATTCTAGATAGAAAATAACATGTGTTTTCTCAACTTATTGTTCTTTGGGTGGAGAACTTGGACATTGCATCATTTTCACCCTTTATTAATGTTTGAAAACAGTATTACCTGATCTTTCATTAGTAAAATCTCATATTGCCATTGGTTGTGTAACAGGCTTATCAGGATCAATCTCTGCCTTTTCAAAGGAATGGCGCTATTGCTTTACTAGTCGGTGCATTTTATTTGCTCGCTAGATATGCGATACACTGCACCTGGGTCACATCAGAGGCATATTCATCTCCTTCAATAGTCCTGGCTGCAAGAGGTGCCTATGGTGGTAGGGTTATCTTTGATGACTATCGTGAAGCCTACTTCTGGCTACGGCAAAATACTCCTCCTGATGCGAAGATCATGTCTTGGTGGGATTATGGGTACCAGATAACAGCCATGGGAAATAGAACTGTTATTGTAGATAACAACACATGGAACAATACCCATATTGCGACTGTTGGCCGTGCTATGTCATCATACGAGCCTGAGGCATATGAGATAATGCAATCACTTGATGTTGATTATGTGCTTGTTGTATTTGGGGGGGTTACTGGTTATTCTTCTGATGATATAAACAAGTATGCACGAGAAGTTATTTCTTGTTGGCATTAACTTTCTCTTTTCCCCCTATATCTGGTGTATGAAGTGCTGATAATTAATTATCTTAGCCATAACCATTAGCATATTTATATTTTTGGAGTAGCTTTCCTTTTGTATTTCCATGATTTTGTGCTTTTCTTGGTTTGCATCTGTGCTGTTCCTTTTGCTGAACATGAATTGCATGTTAAACAACAGATTTCTATGGATGGTACGTATTGGAGGTGGTGTTTTTCCAATCATTAAGGAGCCTGATTATCTTGTGAATGGCGAATACCGTGTGGACAAAGGCGCAGCACCAAAAATGTTGAATTGTCTCATGTAAGTTCTTATCCTTGGTTGAGTTAAAGGGCTAGGCATCCATTATATTCATGCGATAGCAACAATTGGGTGTGGGTCTTTTTGTTTTATATTTCTAATTTCTAGGAATTAGAAATTTAAATTTCTGATTTTATCGTAAATCATTGCATATAGTATTCCTGGTCCGAATCAGCGTATTTGTATTTTACTCCCTGAAACACTTCCTCAGCCAGGTGTGGGCAGAATAGCAGAGCAAGTATTAGAAATGTCTCCCTCATCATTAATATACTTGCTCATTGTAATAGTGGCCTTTTGAGAGAATCGATAACTGCATTAAATGTTTTTCTGTGCGTTTGTTGAATGATCCATTTGGTGATTCGTCACCTATATACCCCACTAATTTATGTGCTTTCTAATACTCACATTCTTCTGAACAGGTACAAGCTCTCATACTACCGTTTTGGAGAGTTGACTACAGAATATGGAAAACCCCTTGGGTATTTCTCCTTTCTTACTTGAACGCACATACACACATGAGAGAGAGAGAGAGGGGTTCACTGTTGGTCAAACATGTTCCTATAATTTGATTTGCTGAAAATTTGATTTTTTTTTATAGATGGGATCGTGCACGGGGGGTGGAAATAGGGAACAAGGATGTGAAGCTCGAGTATCTTGAGGAAGCATTCACGACGTCTAACTGGATCGTTCGGATCTACAAAGTCAAGCCTCCCAGCAACCGATGGTGAGGCCAAGCTTTTGATATTTATAGGAAAAGTAGAAAGTAGGATAGAAATGAGGTTTTTTCTTTGGACGGGAATGCAACAATCTAGATCAAAGTGCAGAGCTTGAGATTTTCCGGTATGTTATTATCTATGCTAATGTAAAAGTGATATTTAATCTGTTGCTTGATGGTGGTCATTTATGACAAAAAAAATGCTGGCCATTTCTTACTGGATTATGGGACTTGTGTGACTCTCTAAATCTAGGTTTTTGTGTTCATTCAAGAATTCTGATCCAGGTCCCTTGAAGGGAATGAGGTTTTTTCACGGGTGTTTATTAGGGCTGTGACTTTATGATATTTGGTAAAGTTGCTTTGAAATTCCACTGGAAAATGAAGTTCTGTCGTCAGAAACAGTTGTGATGGCCTTCAAATTTATTTCCAACCCTAACTAATGGACCTTGGAGCTCCAAAGAGTGGTGCAAGATTTGGACTTGTAATAGATGATCCAAAAAACATGTTACGAGCTAGACCACCTTTAGGGTTTGAATTTATTTTTAGTTCCATGATTGTTGAGGCTGAGATGATTGGTTTGCAAGTTTTTTCAATACAGGAACTGCATTTTCTTTTTGTTAAATTTGAAGTGTGGCTTTATTAAATTGTAGCCCCGCAAAGTACTTTTCCTTGTCCCCTATATTGAATGAAGTTATATGTTAAGTAAGAATGAAGTTATATGTTAAGTAAGAATGAAGTTATATTTTGGTAAGGATGTTTCAGTAATTAGGAAAATTGATTTGGGAAATAATAACTGCATCGATAGCAGCATATATAAAGTTATCATACATTTTCATCTCCAGTAATATGTATTTTGACATTGGATTAATGTGGCATAGAATCCGGATATCCATCCATAACTAATGTTGTTTTAAAATATTTATCATGTTAATACAGAATAAGGATTTTTATATATAAGGCAATATTATAGAAAATAATAAGGAGAGCGTTAATAAAACTTAACGAAATTATCGCTAATATATTTTAATTTTAATAAAATTGGAAAAAAAATCCCAAACTTTCATACCAACTTCGTTCACACATTTTTTCTTAATTTTTATGATTTTTCGGATGAAAATGCCTTTTATGATAGTCTTTTTACTGTAATAAACATTACGGTATTTTGTACCGTAATGTTCTTAAATTTCTTTACGGTCATAAAAAGATTGTAATGGTTCAAAGTCTATTGGAATTCTAAGAGATTTTAGACCATTACGGTCTTTTTATTATCTTAATGATCTGTAATGAGTATTACGGTATTCAAAGTACTGTAATTTTGTCATGCCATTTCCATTACGGTAGAAAGACTACCATGAAGCCATTTTTTTTAAAAAAATTGTGAAAATTGATAAAAAGGGTGTTAGTGAGATTTAGAAAGTTTGGGTTTTTTTTAAAATTTTGTTAAAATTAAAGTATATTAGACATAATTTCTCTAAAACTTATTAAGAATGTTATTCTCATGGTTGTAGTGGCTGTTATAAAGGTTGCTAGTGGCTGTTATTCTCATGGTTGTAGTGGCTGTTATAAAGGTTGCTGGCATTGGCTGTTGCCTAAAATTTGGCCAAATATAGGGCGATATTCTGAAAAAACAGTCCTCATGCCCGTGATTAAAAAAGAAACGGTCCATTGTGCCATGTCAGAAAGGGCATTGTAATTGTAATGGCCCTACTCAGCTTAAAAAAAAGAAAGAAAAAGGGTGTGGTTTGTATAGAGCCGAGGCTCTAAACAATCAAAGTAAAGTACACCTTAAAATAGTGTTAAAAGATGTTTCAATACCGGAAATCTTCGTGATGGCTTGAAATTTTATTTTTATTTCTAATGATAAAATTTTTAGAGCTTAAAAAATAGTGTACATCGAGCAGATCTACGATTACTAGAAAATTGACGGTCTGAAAAAACATTATAAGATGCACTATTTCCAATACTTTAGATCTATTTTTTCTTTTGTCTATACATTTTGAGGTCAGATGGTCAATTTGAGGATTTTGAGCATCGAAACAACTTTCTTGTTGTGAAAGTCATAGGTGGTTCAAATTTGGACAAAATAATGTTTTGAAACACAACAAATTGGATTGGGAATTGCTGATCCATATGATGATCTAGGTTTCCCCCTAGAATCACCATATACCATTGTTTTGATAATTTTTACCATTATTGTGATAATTCGTTTCACCGATTTTTTACTGAGTCATTCAATCTGGATTGCAAATTCAGGGGTTTCCCCCTAGAAGCACCATGTACCATTGTTTTGATAATTTTTACCATTATTGTGATAATTCTTTTCACCGATTTTTTACTGAGTCTTTCAATCTGGATTGCCAATTCAACCGATTAAGATAGGTGTGTGACTATGAATAGGCAATATAGAACCTGATTTCGGGTTTTAAAGCACCAGCACAAATAATATCCTTTTAAATTGGGAGAATGGAGAACCCCACGATGAACAGATGACGATTTCAGTATTGAAGACTAGAGAGAGGAGAGAGAGAGAGGCCTTGGAACTTCTATCTATAGTTGTGGTGTTGAGCAGGGGGCAGAGAGAGAGAGAGAGAGAGTAGTGGGACTTCTGCATTACTCTCAGTATATTTCAGGAAATTAACATTTTCCAATTCCTAATCAATAATTTATACACAGATATAATCCTTTCAGAAGAATTTATATCTACTTGTTTATATTTCTCTAACATATGTAATCCTTTCAGAAGAATTTACATCTACTTGTTTATATTTCTCTTGTGAAACCAGCAAACTTCAGCGAAGCTTTCATCCTTCCATTTCCTATTCTTTCCCTCCTGTTAAATGATCATTCCAGCTTCCAATCAAAAGGATAGTTGTCATTATAACTGCAAGCCCCAGGAAATACCAAGTAAATCCAGCCAAAATAACCCTTAACCAGTAGCTATTCACTATGTGTAGAGCAGCAGAGCCAGCAATATGCTCATCAAGCCCACCATGGCTGCCTTCATCTCTCAAACCAACAGTCATGGCAGCAACCAAACCAAGTGTGACTGGAATCTCGAGAGGCACCGAAATCCTTCGATCTTTGTACACATTTGTGGGTAGTTTTTCTTTGCTCGATCCTTTCGACTGGTTTGTTTGGTTCCAAGAGGTCTTTATTTCCTCTTTGTTTTTGGTGGTTGGGGTGAGAGCGGGTTTTGGAACCCAGTACTCGCTTTGGCTCGAATTGGCGGGAATTTGGCGAGGGGGTAAGGGGTTCTGGAGCCGCCTTTTTGCTGCTTCTTCGAGTTTTTTGGTTTGAGGGTGCCGGATTCTTTTGGCTACACTGATTTTTTCAGGGTTTTTGGTGTCGGATTTTGTGGGAGTAGGGGATTGTTTGGTCCACCACTGTGAAATTGATCTGATGGTTTGCATGGCTGATCTTGTTGCTGCCCTCTGTAGATCTGATTCCTGGTAGATGGTTTTGGTCAGAGAGAGAGAGACAGAGAGGGAGATGGCTGATTAAATTTGAGCAGGCATTACCTCTGGCCCCGCATGGTGAGATTTTTCAGTTGATTTTTGCATCTTCTCATTAAATTTTTTCTGCAATCTTTCAGCATCCACAAAAACATTTGCAACCCGAGCTCCGACTGTGTTGTCGTTGTTCATCCGAACATTGCCCCTTGGCTGCTTCGACATCAAAAATTCCAAAGCCGCTAATTTTGACCTCTCCACTACCCTGTGATTAATTGGAGAAACAAAGTTTATCAACGTTCTTTAAGGGAAACAGAGAGAGAGAGAGAGAGTCTCACGATATGCAATCGACTGGGCAAGCTTGAATCGCAGCTTCAATGGTATCCTCTGGATCAGCCCACTGAGACACCACCCTGGCTCTCCCATACACAGCTTCAATGGCGAACGTGTTACGAGCAGCGAGTGCGCATTTCAAGCACCCCACACACTTCACTTCGTCGACAAACACCGCCCTCTGCTCGTTCGCTGAACCGAACCAGGTCGAGTAGATCGGCTTCCCTGTGTAACCCTTTACCTCTGCCATTTTACCCTGTTCCTGCTTAATTCACGACATATACTCAGTGTGAGAGAGCATAGATTACAGAGAGAGAGAAGCCATGGACAGGCAGAGATCCTCATTCAGACCGTTTTTTCTTCTCAACTGTGACTTCAGCAAAACTTCTCTCTCTCTCTCTCTCTCTCTCTCAAATCTCAAACCATTCTCTCTCTCTCTCTCTCTCTCTCTCTCTCTTTCTCTCTCAAATCTCAAACCATGAAAGAAAAGAGGCCAGCTCCACCTTCAAATAATCACAGACACAAAACAAGAACAAATGCCTAGCTTCTAATATTTTCAGTTCTTCAAACAAAGGAAGTAATACAGAGAGCTTAACAAATTTAAACAACATAGTGGCTAAATTTCAGCCCAAATTTACTGCAAATTTCTATTCTCTTATTCAGGTTTTTGCACCTCGAAAAGGAGAGGGAGAGAGAGAGATTACCTTGTCATAAGCCAACCTAGAACAAGGATCAGAGAGAACAGAGTAAGCCTGGTTAAGAATTATGGCCATGTCATGGCCAGCAGGCCCTGCGATATCAGGATGGCATCTCTTTTGCAGTGATCGATATGCATTCTTTATCTGTGACTGATCAGAAGTGCTGTCGATTCCGAGTAGCTCATAAAGATCACAGTCCAGCTCTTGAGAGAGGTTACAACTCATACTCCTCAATGCATTTCTCTGTGATTTTCTGGGATTGAAGTTCCTGGTTTTTGAAGGTTTAATGGCAGGGTGATAGGGCCCATTTATCAGAAGGCCTGAACAAGGAGCCATCCTTCTTTAGAATTTAGAAAGAGTGATAGAGGTGACCCTCTTATCTATGGGAATAGATATTTCGTTGCGCTTTTGAAAGTGATAGAGAGAGAGAGACAGAGAGAGAGAGAGAGAGAGAGAGAGAGAGACTACTTT